AATATTTATATTTTACTAAAAGGCTTCTATTTCCTTTTCATTCTGCAGACACTCCTTATGTAGAAGTTTGGGGGGGAGGGTAAAGTGTGGGCTAATAACTCATTTCCCAGTTAATTTTATTAAGAATTTATGGCACTGTTTAGAAAGTTTTAAGACAACCATAAATTTTATTAGGAATACTTTATTAAGCCCTCCATTTAATTAATAAAAGACCTCTATAACTTCTGAAAATGTCAGAGCTAGTAATTATGTTAACCAGTGTAGTTTTTTCCCCCTCTAGAGACGAAAGCATTTTAATGATTTGAAATAGAATAGTAAGGAAAGCACCTCCCTCTCACCCCCCCTTTTTTTTTTCTTAACTTTTGCATCATCCAGTTAGAATATAGTAACTTAGGTATTTTCCCTGCAACCGTTGGAGAGCCTAAGCTGACCTCTCATTGACTTCTGAACTGGACCCAGCCATTCTTTGTTTTCTGAAACAAAATGCAGTAAACAAATCTTTTAGTCCTTATAGCCTGTAATGCTTTGGAGCACTTGATTAAAGTTCTCCCTAATCCTTTCAGTTAACCCCCTTTGATATCACCTAACCAGGTTTCCCCCTTTAATAGATCTCTCAATCGTTTATTTCACTTTTCTCACAGCCATTTATTAGCTTTGACTTCTTGGTACCTTTCCCATATCACCTCCAGGCTCTTATCTCCAGCATTCCTCTATTATCTGTACTAGCTTTCAAATCTATTTTCTTTAAACTGTCTTTCCCTCCCTCCTCTTATTTCTGTTTTTTTGAAATGCGAATGCTAATGAGGGGGAGAGATGCGGAGAATGAATGTTTTTGAAATACAAACACCAAGCCTCCACACCACAGGACAACCTAAAAACCAATCACAACATTTCAAGGGACATCTTAAAGTTTGGTGGCAAATGATAAATCCTTATCATTTTGTGAACACAGCTGCCAAACTCGATTGATTAACAGGCTTTTGTTTATTCTAGGCTGGCAAATACACACACATTTTACCTTAAGAGGTGCCTCTTTTAATTTCTGAGGGTTTTGGAGCTGACTCATCAGTGTGACGTTTTGGGACAAAAGCCTAATTTAGGATATAGGTCTTTCCAGAGGCACAATTCCTTATAGAACATAAAGTACGGGGAGTTCTCTGAGACAACTTTAGCAGCAGCTCAGAGGAGCACTGAGGGCTTGAAATGCCTCCATATAGGAGGGTGTAAACAATGGAGACCAAGGGCCCAATCTGCCTCCTTTTGTCACCGTTCTCTATCTCTGGAAAGATGCTCCGAGATAAGAAGGATGAGAAAAGAATGGAAGGCCTGAATCGCAAGAGCTAGGGCCAAGTGCCAGAATTTTTCACCAGGCCAAGTTTTCGCAAAATAAAAGTGCTATTGCCTTAAAAAAGCAACTATCTGAAATAAGTTAGGAATAGGTGCTGTCACAAAATGGGCACAAATATCGAGAGTAGTTTACTAAGATACCTAGACCTGTCCCTCCATTTTTTTCCTTTTAATAGATGATTAATTGCTGCCCTGCTAAAGGAGTTTTTTTTTTTTTCTTTTTTATGGCTACTATATTGCAACTCTAGACATCCTCTGTGCGATTTCTCTCAGCAAGCCCCAACTGTAATAACTGTTTGCTAATTGTAAAATCCTTATCCAGAATGAGGTTTGGGCAAACAATTTGTACTACTGTAATTACATTGTAAAAGTGTTTAGTCCCTTGATTGTTCAGAATTAATTGTATAAAGGCCTAGAAGTTATATTAGGTTCACAGTTAAAAATGGAAAGACTGTGTGTGTGTGTGTGTGTGTGTTGGTGGGGGGTGGGTACTTTTCAAAACTACTGAGTTGATTTTAAGTCCACAAACTCAAACTATCTCATTCTTTAAGGAAAATTTGTGTGTAGGTTATTTAAAGTACATTTTTATGGTTATCTGACACATCATGGTTAAAACATGCAGTAGTCTAGTCTTCCTCCTACTTTGAAGATTTTGGTTATGTTTGCATAGGGTGACTTACCTGAACCTTCTTTTTTCATCAGTGCTAGAAAACAAAAGAAAAAGATTACTGGAAAGCAACAATACAAAATAAATCCTGTTGTCAAATATACACGTATATACTGACCTTTTCCAAATTTGAAAACGTGGCCGCAGAGTTGTGGTAACTCCAAACCCCGCTACCTCTTTGCCGAAGAACCCCTGAGGCTGTTAAAGACTACAGTCCTCTAAGTGTATTTCGCAGTAAATTTCTCTCAGTTAAATTATACTTACACAATTTCCCTCGCAGTTCATTTAAGGATCGTAAACGTAGGTGTGTCCTGTCGGTGTTTGGTTTGACCCCCACCTCCTACCCACGCTTCTCCCTCCTACTCCCGAGTCGCGCAGATGCCTGGCGGACCTACTGCGGGGACTAGGATCACAGCCCCGCGAGCAGCCGTCGGAAGGCGCTCAGGTATCTGCCGAAGTCGGCTGGGATTCCGGGAAGGGGTCGCAGACAGCCAGCCCAGCTTAGTCCTCTCCCTAAGCGGAAAAGGAGTGTGCTGCCTGGCCTAGCCAGCGCAGCCTCCCAAGGATTGAACAGAAATCGCCTTCCTGAGACGGGGAGGTTCCACCTTGGCCTGAAATTCTGCTTCCAAGTTCATGTTGTGGGACCGGGGGGCGGGGGGGCGCCGGTGGGGGGGGTCGGGGGAGGCCGGGAAGTGCTGGCAGGGGCATAAAGGCGCTGGTAATGTACCTGGCTGCCCACCCACCTCCGTCCCGAGATTTTATTCGCGGGCCTGTCTTAACCTCCCAAGTGATGTTTTAGGGCGTTTGTGCCAGAAAACCTACACATGTATGTGATGGAAAAAACTAAAAGATCCTGAAACTTAAGCGTCAGGAAAAAGGAGGAGAAACAGAGAGAACGAAAAAAGAGGAAGCAAATGATAAGGGATCCTGGAGCTGGTTTAAACACACACACACACCCCTCTTACAAGGCAAAGCGCTTCTGAAGGTTTTGGTAGAACGTGTGTCAGCCTTTCAGGCACACAGGGTGCCAGTACAGAGCTGGGGGCGGGGAAGGGTGCAGTGCAGGAGGCTGGGAAGGCTCATCTGCTCGGCTTTATGGAAACGCTCCACCGTTGGGGGCAACCAACCCCGCGTTGACTCTTGCAAAGACTAAAGGAAGCGATAGATGTCGCCTAGGGAGACTACGGACGCTCGGTGGAACTTCATTCCAGACCTGTGTTCTGATGCTCGCCCTGTGTCCCCTGCTCCTTGGAAGCCCACTCTAGAAACTTCAGTCCTACCTCGCAGACGGGCGCAAATTCTCTTTTACTTTGCGCTTAAGAGTTGGCTTCAATACATTTTGGAGGTCCTAACCTTTCCTAAACAATCTCCGGATGAAGGGATACCCCCAATCTTTCTCAAAACTCTTCCCCCTACCTACAACCCCGCGGGGGTGAGGGTTCAGTCCGCAGCTGGCGAGTGGGACGTGGGTGGGGGCGATGCGGGCGCGGGCGGGCTGCTTGGAGGGAGTCAGCCTTTTGGCCACCTTCAGGGCGGGAATAGGGACTGGCAGTTTGCATTCCCCGCAGATCGAAGCTCCCTGCTGATCGATTATTTGATAATTGATTTTCCCCGCAGCCAATGCGCGGCGGCCTGGGCGGGGGCGCCTCCTGATTGGCCGAGCACTCCTCCGCGGCTGCCTACCGAGATTTGGGTGAGCTCATTTTCCAGTCGACCGCAGGGGGAGTTTTCTGCGAGGTTTCAGCTGGAGGGAGGGGGAAGAATCCTCTCCGAGCCGAGCGAGCTGCGAGCCCTGCTTGTGGATGTGAGGTTTCCAGCCGCTGGTCGAGCTGCTGCGGCTGAGCCATTTCGGCAGATCAGAGCCCAGCGGACAGAAATACAAATACGAAAATAACGCCACTAAATATAATCACAAGGGAGAAGCTTAGAGCGGGAGAATAAAGGGGGGGGGGGGAATTAAAGCTCAGGCCATAGGTGTTAAAGTTAAAAACAAAACAAAAAAACAGTGGCTGGTTGGAGCCTCCGAGTTGTAGGTACGGGCAGCTTTTGTCTGAAATCTCAGCTTCCGAAGCGGATTTATTTTTCTCTGGCACTGGGAGGCTTCGCCGAGCCGGGTTGGGGACGGGAAAGGAGCGCGGGGAAGGATGTCTGGGGTGGTGAGGGCAGGGCGTCGCTGGAGAAAGAGATAGGGGGACGCGAGGTTCTTACAGGCCCGGGAGAGGTCGAGGCTGGAGCCCCCTCCGCGCCTCTAAGACAAAGGCAGCGGTGGCTGCAGCCCGAGCCTCGCACTCCGGCAGCGTCGCGCCGCGCCCTGGGCGCACGGCCGCCTCACCCCAAGCGGGTGAGAGAAAGAGGCTCCCTCCCAGCAGCTCCCCGGCCCCTGCTCCACCCGCGAGGTCTGGGCTGCTGCGAGCCCGAGCTGGGTTTCGCTTTCCGACGATCATAAATAGCTTGGTGTTTGTAAACAGGCGCTGGGGGCACATTCCCCGCGCTCAGCTCATTGTTCCCTCCCTTCCTCTCTACTTCGCGCTGGACGCCTAGGCTGGGGCTGGGAGCCGCCGGGGCTAGGAGGTGGGGGAGTCCAGACCCAAAGTGACAAAATGCTAGCATTTTCTTTTCCCCAGGCGGGCGTCCACCTCTAACAGCAAAGAAACCTCTAAGCTGGGTCTGCAGAAAGCCCGAGCCACCTCCACCCCACGTTCTCAGGACTCCTTAACAGAGGTTTTCCCAGCCTGGCTTCTCCCTCCTCCTTCTGCTCCAAGCTCCCGGTTTGACTTTTCTCCTTGCAGTGTTTAGTTCTGAGAATTCAGTACTTTGCGCATCACCCCCTTCCCCGAAAAACACTGGCCGACCCCAGTAATTTCGAGGAAAGTCATGAAGTCCATGCGCGGAGCCCTGTGCAAAATAACTCCCGCTGCTGCCTGCCCGGCGTTGATTCCCAATTTATTTCAAGAGAGTAGGCTTTGGGGAGAGAGTCTGCAGGGGGAGGGAGAGAAAAGAATACTGAAAATAAAGCCGGCAGCCGCGGGCTACTGCCTGCGTTTGTGTGCGTGTGCCCTGGGTGTGTGGTGTTTGTGCCTGGGCGTGCGATTTAATGGAGCGCCTCTCTGCCTCTCCAGTGCGGCCAGAGCTCGCTTCGCGCACCCACCCCTGCCGAGAAGCCTACTTGCTGCAGCCCAATGCATTGTGTAAGACGCGACCTGTTATGGCCACCACTACTTCCGGGTTCTAGCATTCTGGTCGGAATCCACCTCTCCGCCTGTGCAACACACACTTTACACACGCACAGGGACTGCAAGCGGGCAGCATCGATCGTGGCTCCTTTAAGACAAACTCAGACAGACATTTTTTTTAACCCTCCTCCTCTAATCTCCCTCCAGTGCAGCACTTGCAAAGAGAGGGGGAGAGAGAGAGAGAGAGAAAGAAAGAGAGAGAAGAGAGAAACTGATTAGGAATTAGGACTGATTCAAGGGAAGCGAGCGCTAGGGCTTTGTGCATTTGAATATTAACATTTGAGGTGTTCTGACCAGAAGAAGACAGAGCGGATGATCATTCATTCACCACGTTGACAACCTCGCCTGTGATTGACAGCTGGAGTGGCAGAAAGCCATGAGATTTGGTAGTTGGGTCTGAGGGGCGCTCTTTTTTTTTTCTTTTTCTTTCTTTCTTTCTTTCTTTTTTTTTTTAACTGATTTTTGGGGGAGAGAAGATCTGCTTTTTTTTTTTTTCTTTTTTTCTTTTTTCTTTTCTTTTTTTCTTTTTTTTTTTTTTTTTTGCCCCCGCTGCTGTCTTGGAAACGGAGCGCTTTTATGCTCAGTGACTCGGGCGCTTTGCTTCAGGTCCCGTAGACCGAAGATCTGGGACCAGTAGCTCACGTTGCTGGAGACGTTAAGGGATTTTTCGTCGTGCTTTTTTTTTTTTTTTTTTTTTTTCCGGGGGAGTTTGAATATTTGTTTCTTTTCACACTGGCCTTAAAGAGGATATATTAGAAGTTGAAGTAGGAAGGGAGCCAGAGAGGCCGATGGCGCAAAGGGTACGTATTAAAAAACAATTGTGGAACTCAAATGTGAGATTAAATTGAAACGTGGCCGAAAGACACTGCTAAAAAGTTTCCTTTTTTTCTCTCTCTCTTTTAAAAAATGAGGCTCCTAAAGCAGTGGCCTAAAGCGAGAGGATTTATTCAATGCATTTGTAGACTTATGTATGTTACTTGGAGTTGTTAATTAAAGGAATCAATTTATCTATAGATTCCTAACCAGCAGCTATATAAATAAAAATGCAAGCTCAAACAATCATCTTTTTTTTTTTAACTAGATACCTAATGCTGTAATTTGAACATTCAGAGATCAGAAGTTTAAAGTTATGTTTAAACTAAAATATGCAGCTGGAAACTTCTGATATGTTATTGATTATGCTCATCTTTAATATCACTAGAAGTATTTAGCTTTTTAAAGGAAATAACTGTCATAGTATAGCCAATTTTTTGGTCAGAAAACATTCATCTTTTTATGGTAATTTCAATTTGTATAGATTTGTATACAAGGCAATATTTTGCAAGTTTCTTTTAGATAAGCCCTGTACTAATTGAATACTAAGCACACAGTTACTCACTTTAAAAATGCAATACTAATTTCCCCATATTCCTTTTTCAATGGAAATGCAGTGAGAGTAAAGTGAGACAATGACAACCCAACTGAGGTAGTTTCTTAAAAGAAAGGGGGTCTACAAAAAGCCTTCCTTGCATAATTTGTGTCCTGGCCCTCAAAGCCCTGTTTGCAAAAGAAAGTTACTAGGCTGACACATTTTTCTTTACTCCCTTGGTTCAGGCAAATGTCAGCGTTCTTCCAAACTCTTTTCACACCTCTGGCTTTAAGGAGATGAAAGTGGCAATTCCTCCTTTCTTTGAAAATCATTTCACTCTCAGCGCCTCCAAATCTTGGGAAAATAACTTGCCTGGAATGAACCAATTAGAAAAGTCTAAATAGCTAAATTTCACACGCAAAAAATAATGACAATCAATATGAAAGTAGTTTTTTATTTTGTTTTGTTTTTTTTTCTGGAAGAGGAAGATGGGAGGTTCTCTGTGCATTTGCTTTTGAATTTGCTTTAAACCTGGTGAGTAACATTTGCCTCCTTCTAGTCTGGAAAGAAAGTTCATAAGAGTAAACAAGAAAATAGAATATTAGCTGCTTCAACTATAGATTTTTCTTTAACTTTGGGAGTGGGGAATTGCCCAATTCTAAATTCAGCTCTAATGTTCAGGAAAAGCTACCCTTCTTTGAGTTTCACTTATAAGGGGTCAGTTAGTTTTGTATAATTAGCAGAGTTTGTCTTGGAAAGCAAAAGAAATGCAGTGTCTTGCAGGACTGGCTAACCTCACGCCGGCAGGGAAATAAAATGAGAAGCCTGTCTAAATTCACGTGCTTGGCGTAGCTGTTCCCATCATAACTTTTTTTTTTTTTTTAATTCCCCCTGATGTGAAGGGGCTGTGAAACTAGGCGGGTTTGCTGCAGTGTCCTGGCACGTTTTATTATTGTGATTTTGAATTTCTTCCTCCAGAGACATGCCCGTTTCACCTTCCACCCTCCGGAGAATGCTCTTTCTCTCCTTCTTTCTTCTTTCCTTCTTGCCAAAGGAGCCTGAATTTCTGAACTAGTTGATAGGGACACAAGTTAGGGCAAGATCATTCATCCCAGATGAGTCTCGCTGAGAATTCTATAATTTTTACTTAAAGCCTTAATTTTAAAATAAGAAAACTCAGCTTTAGAGATGAAAGGCCACCGAATTCCGGGTGGAAGGATCCAGCTGGACTGACTTTATATAAGCTCGGTGCCTTGCCGTTCTCCCATTTGCCCGTCTGGCCTCCTGAACCTTCTTTTTCTCCTGTTTGTCATGCAGTACGACGATCTACCCCATTACGGGGGCATGGATGGAGTAGGCATCCCCTCCACGATGTATGGGGACCCGCATGCAGCCAGGTCCATGCAGCCGGTCCACCACCTGAACCACGGGCCTCCTCTGCACTCGCATCAGTACCCGCACACAGCTCACACCAACGCCATGGCCCCCAGCATGGGCTCCTCTGTCAATGACGCTTTAAAGAGAGATAAAGATGCCATTTATGGGTAGGTACAATGGGCAGCAGGTTAACTAGTTGAGACTCAATGCTTCCCTCTTTCCCTGTGCCCTTGGTAAGAGGAAAGTCAGAGTTCTCTGGATTGGAGCTACATCTTTGGTGACTTTTCATTCACATTGCATGGAGAATTTGGGGAGGTGACCTGCCATCCCTGAAGCCCTACATCTCCATACACACTCTGTGCACATTCAGTGCCCTGCTCCACCATGGCAGTGCCCGCAAGGGGGTCCCAGATCAGAAGAAGCTGGCTAAAGGGCCCTTGTCCCCTCTCACACTCCCTCAGAGGGCTGGAGTCCTCCCTCGCTTGATTTCGCCCGAGAGCGTTAGGGGTTTCTAAATGTAGGCGCCTTTGTGTTGGAACGAAACTTTTAGTTTAAGGGAAAATCTCTTTTAAGCCACTGATTGTTCTGACTTGCTAAGTTTACTCAGCAGCCTTATGCTGGCTCTGCCACTGCACAATAAAACCAAGGCAGGACAGTTGCAGGTCAAGCAAGGGGGAACATGTTTTGCATTTAGGGAGTTTTACCACTGAAGTCAAGGAGAGGAGCTTGCTCTGAATTGTTACACACATTAAGAAACTTCTAGATGTTTTAGCACTTTGTGCTCAAATGTGAAACCTGCAGGATTTAGAAATAAGTAAATTCGGGGCACTCTTCCTCGGAGGTTGTTTTCTGGCCGCGGTTTACAATGCTTTCTCCTCCGCCATTCGATTAGACCCTGGACTAGTAGAATCCTTTGAAACTCACTTGTGCCTACTGTGTGCCGATGAATTTGGGAACCTCGTTTTACTTTGCAGAAACTTTTATTTCTATTGATTTATTTTTAAAAAATCAGAACCCACTGACCCTCCGTGGCAAAAGAATATATATATACTCTTTTTGCTTTATTTTCTGATCCCTTGTGCGATGGGCTTGTTTAAATCCCACCGTTCTGTCCGCAGCGTTAACTACAAGTGGTTTAGGCTCTGGGACCGAACATTTGGGGAAGTTTTGTAAAGGACCCCAAACTGTTAAATTCCCACATGAGCAGTGAGAGCTAATAAAAGACTTGAGATACCTCCTTGAGCATTAGAAGAAGCTTTTCTTTCTTCCTTTCTTCTTCTTCTTCTTCTTCTTTTTCTTTCTGTTTTATGGGCTGAGACAAGCGACATCTAGGCCCCTCGCAATACTAGCTGCTTTGCCACTTCGCAGAGACAAAATGAAAGGCTGTACCGCAGGAACGTTTGAAGGAACTTTCTTTGGGGGGCGGTGGGGGCCATCTGCGAAGGGAGGGGAGTGTGCGAGGAGCTGAGGAGGAGCCTCCCGGCTCTCCGAGGGTCTTGGGGTTGGGATCCCTAGGTGCAGTCCATTGACAGTCGGCCCCACGGCCATGGACGTCCTTTCCCCAAGTTAGCTGAGCGCCTGCACCGAGATCCCCTGAGCCTGGGCTTCGCGCGGCCGCCTAGGAGGAACCCGCAGGAACCAGCCCTCCCCACCCCTCCGCCCGGCGCCTTTCTCCTCCACCAGATCCTGGATGTGCAGTGGAGGGGACGAGGGCTTGTCGGGTGGGAAACTTAATTCAAAATGGCTGCTGGAAACGCTTGGGTTTTATTCGTAGCAAATGTTGCCAATTTCTCCGGCCAGATACGCTAAACCGATCCTCAGATACCGTCCATGGCTCAGGGCCTCCGACTTCAGGGCTCCAGGAGGAAGGGGAGGTGAGCGGTCACCTGGGTCGGGGGGCGAGGTGGGGGAGGAAAAGGAAAAAAGTAGATGACACAATCCGAGAGGGGGTCTATTCCTCTTGCTCCTCCGGCTGTTTTTCTTGGGCACCTTTTTCCATTGACTGGGGACTAACCATTATGTTGTTTGTGACTGTTGTATTTTCTTGCAGACACCCCCTCTTCCCTCTCTTAGCACTGATTTTTGAGAAATGTGAATTAGCTACTTGTACCCCCCGCGAGCCAGGGGTGGCGGGCGGGGACGTCTGCTCGTCAGAGTCTTTCAATGAAGATATAGCCGTGTTCGCCAAACAGGTCAGCAAAATAAATGTTAAAAAGTAAAAGAAACAAAAGGAGAGCCCCCCTTCCCCAACACACAAACGCGCGCGCGCGCGCGCGCACACACACACACACACACACACACACACGGCACACTTTCAAAAGTAGCCAGCACATAGTCGGCCCTAAGCCATGAGTGTTACCTCCAACCTCAGATTTTCTTTCTGTCTGAGTGTCTGTTTGCAGATAACTTAAAATCACCCATCTGCATCCCCACTCACCCTCCAGAAAGCAAACGTGGAGAGCTCACTGCAGAATAAAATCTAGAACACCACAGTTGTAGCTGCTGTGGACTTGGCGGGCTGAGCAGCCTCCCTGAGAACCGCAGTTGCTAGTAGAAGTAAGACTGAGCTCTGGGCTTGTTTTCAGCTTAATTCACACTGAAAGGTTTCTGCGCGGGACGAACTTGGTGTCACTGGGTCCCTCCCGGAGGGTTACATCCTGCCCACAATAGGGTAATGAGGCAAGAAACTAGGAAGGCGACCAGATTTCAAATTTTTCTTTCTTTTTTCTCTCCCCTCCCTCTCCCCTCTCCTTCTCACTTGTATTTAGATTCGCGCAGAAAAACCTCTATTTTCTTCTAATCCAGAACTGGATAACTTGGTAAGAGCGGACCCCTATCCCCCCGCCCCCATCCCCCACCTCCCACCTCCAGCGCCCTCAGCTTTGCTTTGAGAGCCCTGAGATTTCTAGACCGGTCTTCCCGTGCCTGCAGGTTGGCTGCAAATGTTTCTGTCCACGGACAACTGGTGCGGGACAAGATCCCGGGGAAATAAATTCATCTCGAGAGGGGCCGGGCGAGCCGGCGCTGGGAAACGCGAGCTTTTGTTTTTTATGACAGCCGGGCTGCGCAGCTCTAATCAGCGCGGGGATTTATCTCCCGGCCTGTCAGCGTGTGTGCTTAAACTTTGCGGACTTCCCAGCGCTCTAAGTCCCATCACGAGGGCAGCCACCGGACCAGAGCCCCTAAACAACCAGTTTGCCTGAAAGGTGTAAGGAAGGCAGCAGAAACTTTGCAATGGGAAAAGCCACAGTTTGAGGGCCATTTGGAATATTTTTCTGTCCAGTCCTTCCAAGGACACATTTAGTCCAGTGTTGTGGCCCTTTTGGGGTGGAGTGGGACCAGTGGCACTGAGAAAGGGGAGAGCCATGGGGGAGGAGAGTGTTTATGAGCCCCACTTAGATGCTCTGTTGTTGTTTTAGCTATTTTTTTCTCCTTAAGAAATATAAACCTCTAGATGGTACCCAGTTGCTGCTATTAAGTTTTAGTGTTATTGCCATAAATCAAAATAACTCTATTTACTGGTGGGAGGGGGTGGGCTGGAGATGGTAGCGCTGTGACAGCCAGTTTTCTGCAAGCAGGAATGGGGTGCTTATTGTTTTTGTATCTTTGCAGATGATTCAAGCCATACAAGTATTAAGGTTTCATCTGTTGGAATTAGAGAAGGTAATTTCTCTAGCCTCTTTTCCTTTTACTTACCCCTTACCCCGAAACACACAGAGGGGGAGGGTTCAGAATGGCTGAAGTTCAGCCTTCTGATACATTTGCATAAATGTCTTTCTTTCTGGTAATTAGTGTCAAGGCCAATCTTAGCGTCCATTTCTCTTCGCAGTTTAATTACAATTTCAGCCACTAAAACCGGGATCACAAACGCCCTAGCCTTGTGTTCATTCTTAATAACTTGCTGGCTTTGTGTAAATAGTTGCAATTCTGTGCATCCCAGTTGATGTTTAGAATGCTGCTCTGAGGTGGTTTCACAGGTTAATACCTCTGTTGTCTCTTATCCTCTTCCTCCTCTTCTTTGCTACCTCTGAGGGAGAAAAAAGTTTTGTTCAGTTGTTGTGAGTTTCTGGAAGACAGTCTTGAGAGCAGCGGCAGATCAGACACACGGGAGAGGCAGAAGGGGAGAAGGAGGAGGAGCGGGAAGGAGTCTGGAGGAGGTGGTGGGGAGGCACATTAAACGTTTTGCAGAGACAAAGCAGAGTTGATAGTTGTGTCAATTTCTTGAATCTGTGAATCCTGCACACACCCCACTTTCACACTCAGGAAAGGGTGTGGGATAACATGATTTTGCTAGCTGTTCTATAAATCTCAGCAATAAAAACTTAATGCATTGTAATTCAAACTAACATTAAATTGCAAGCACACTGGGGTTTCTTGTGAATTTTTGCATGTCACTGATGCCTGGGGCCTGTAGGAAACCTCTGCACTTACACCTAAATATTTTGAGGCATTCCTTCTCCTTTTTGTAAAAAAAAAGAAAAATCAATTTGATATGTTTTTGTGGCTGTATGTTTTCTTATATCAGGAGTACTGGCAACTTGATTTCCTTCCTTTTTTTTTTTTTTTTTTTTTAAAAAAGAAAGTGTTCTAAAATATGACCCTTAGAGATAAAAACCTTTATTACAAATATAATAAGGACTTGGGTTGTCAGGCGTATATCCTATGCCACCACAGTACAGGTTCTTTGGAGAATATATATGTGCATATATACACAGATATACATTTTTTCCTTAGACACATTGGAAAGGAATTTATGATAAAGTCACTGGATGAAATTAAATAGTTTACCTTAAATGTCACCTACACAGGTCACCTCTCTAATGACCACAGCCCCAGGAGCAGATGAATTTAACACGGGTGTTGAATATGTTGTAGCCTGTGAATCATCTTGTCACTGTCAATTTTCTGGGATATCTCTATTTTGCAAGAAAAGAAAGTTATTCCTAATTCTGGATGCATCTGGGGGTCTCTGGAGGACAATTGCCCTGTGTTTCCCCTATTTGGAAGTTTGGATCTCACAAGGGGGATGGATTGCACTTGTCAATGTTATTTATGCACTCCTGATTATATTCCCATTTTTTTATTTCTGTCATAATGTAGGTACACGAATTATGTGACAATTTCTGCCACCGGTATATTAGCTGTTTGAAAGGGAAAATGCCTATCGATTTGGTGATAGACGATAGAGAAGGAGGATCAAAATCAGACAGTGAAGATATAACAAGATCAGCAAATCTAACCGACCAGGTACGCGCTTTTCAATTTCAACATCCCTGGGGAAAAAAAAAAAAAAAATCTGTATGCATATTGCTTGCTGGGTCACTACCACCTCCTTTTATTATTTGCATATGATTAAGTCCCTTTTAGATACATTTCCATCGAAATGAAAATTTTTGAATAATGTGGCTATTATTGCTTCATTAAGGCTGGCTCTGGGATTCGACCTGGAGAGATGAGCTTGTAAAAGCTTTGCTAGCAAACTTGACCTGTTTCTTGTCGCTTTTAATTTTTGTCTTTATTTTATTTACCCTCTATAATAATGGGAGTGTTAACTGCCAGTGACCGCCTCTGATTGTAGGGGCTTTGTTCTGGAGCATTTTCCCCCCTTCTATCTTCAAGAAAAGAAAAGTGTAGGGTCTGCTTATTTCTTATTTTATTAGGAATAAATCCAAGATAGGTGGTCTAAGAGAGACAGCGAGGGTTTGAAATCTAGCAAATGCTGGCTATTTTCTCCCTGTCTGTACGGTTCATTAGCCTGTCTTGTCAGTTTTCCTCGGCCGAACGCTTCTAGACCTCACTGAACATTGCTTTGTGTGGTGTTCACTGCAAGCTCGCCCATTTTATTGTACTTAATAGAAAAAATAAGACCAGGCCGAGGTTATAAAAACAGATAAATATGGACTTTCCCCCTCCTTCTTTCCACTCATCCTCCAGCTGGTATGTGCTCTGGGCCCTCTGGGTTGGCAGCTTGTGGACATGTCAGCATCAGGGGCACCCCGGCGGCTCCCTGGGTAAGGAGGGTGGGGGAACTCGCACTGCCTTTGCTCTCAACTGAGGGTTGGCTTGCTGCGCTCCCTCCTCTCCTGTCCTCCCTCCAGGCCCTTCTTCCGATGCGTTACTAAGTAGGGACGACTTTTATTTGGAGTTGCTGAGGGGATTTCTCTCTCTGTGTCACCCCAACACCACTGTTTGCTCCCAGGGTGCCTTTCTCTCTCCTGTGGCTGTATCTCTGGATTGGTCCAAAGGAGTTGCAAAAATGCAATGAAAGTGAAAACGTGTGGAGTGAGTGAGATGAAACAGGGCTCAGAACAGTTCTGTTGCGAATTGTTGCAAGGCGTCTGGAGATTTGGGTAGCTGGCCTGCTCTGCACCCTCCCAACCTTCCCCCCTGTATAAGTGAAGGCCCAGAGTTGTTTCTCTTTCTGACTTGGCACGTGAGTCCAGACTTGGGGGAAGAGATCAGCCTGCCTTTGTTAAGCCAAAGGCCAGCTACTCTGCAAGCTCTGCCATGATCTCTGTTGGCCAGTGGCTGTCTTGTACAGTCCTTTTCGGAGTGCCTGACACCTGGTTCTTAGTGTCATCTTATGGTTTTCTTCTCTCAACATCATCCTCTTAAAATACATTGTCAGCTTGATTTTCCCTGGGCAACCCCCGCGACACAGGCTGAATTCCTCTTTTGCCCATGGGGAGCGGGAAACAGGCAGAGCAGAGATTTAAAAGTGCCAATGTGCCGGGTCCGCGCTGTGATCTGGAGAGTTGGAAACTTTCGGCAGTGTAGACGAGTGCACAGAACACGCAGCGTGCGCAATCCCGGTGCGGCCCCACAGAGGTGGGAAAACTGCAGGCGGCTCCCAGCCTTGGCCCCCGCGGGCTGCCCGGGCCTCAAGTCTGGTTCAACCCGCCAGCCTTCGCCCGGGAGCTGTTGAGTGCAGATTCTGCTGAGGAACCCTCGAGTAGCTGCTGTGGAATAAAAATTGCAATCCAACAAGCCTAACTAGAAAATGGGATTCTAAAAGCTCCGGAGTGCTGGGTACATAAAGCTATTTGAGCAAATTACAAGAATCGCTTAGGGGCATGAATGAAATCAACACTTTAATTGCCTCCAAAATGAAGATTTATACCCCATTTTCTCAAGGAATCATTATTTTATTAAAGTCAAAGATAAAAGAACAAAGTTATGGGGATTTTTTGGAGGGGGGAGAGAGAATACAAAAATTAATATATTATCATGGATCTCCCCCCTTCTCCTTCCCTAAACTTTTGTTACCCAATTCCCTTAACTTAAGATATGCAAAGATTGGTATGCAATTGTATTGGATAAAAATTCGCATTTTATTCTCTTCTACCTCTAAAATGATAATCTGATTTCTGGTCCCCGCTGGTTAAGAGTGGGCTTCGACGCTTTGGCTGAGCTCGTGGCGCTGTTGGCCTTTGCGCGTGGGCTCGCTTGTGTGGCCTCCTGGGGCTCACCCAGGTTTCAGCTGGTCGGAGGACAGCAAACCCAAGGTCAGGTTTGGAGAGGGGAGAGCAAAGCGCTGGGCGCATGTGGTACAGTGCCACGGACGCCGGTGGGCTCCACTGCCCTGGGGAGCTGAGGCGCGACGAGTGAAGCACCAGGACGCCTGGTGGGCGCCAGTTCTCCGGACTGGAGCCTGCTGGCCTGTCCCTCCGGGCCGCTGAACCCCTAGTGCTGTGTCCTGGGGGCCGGGCAGGAAGGATGGCCTCTCCACCTGTCTGCGAATGCAGCCCAGCCAGTTTGAGCCTCCGCAGAGGGTGCGCTCCGGGACTGGACGCTTCTCGTGCTGTGAGAACGCTGGGCCTTGTTAGCTCATTAACCCCTCTGTCTCTAGGGCCCGTTGGCGGCACGATTTATTTTATTTTACTTTTTTTCCTCGGAGGGCGCGAAGACTGCCACCAGCGCGGGGACCTGGGATCAACGACTTTGATACTAGGCGGTATCTCGGAGGGCTAAGTCGGCGGAAATCCACTTGGCCTTGTAGCGCTAGTTCAGTCCTTTTCCTTCCTTCCTTCCTTCCTTCCTTCCTTCCTTCCTTCCTTCCTTCCTCTTTCTTTCTTTCTTGCTCTCTCGCTCTTTTTTCTTTCTTCTCTCTTTCCTATTTATTTATTTTAAAAATAGGATTAAGACACCAGTAGAAGCTGTAATCCCATTCTTCCCCACACTCAGGTTCCTTCCCCCACCCCCAATCTTGGGGCTGCCTGGAGGTCCCTGCCAGAGAGAGCTACCTTGGCGGGCGCGAGCCTCCTGGGCGCCCTCTCCTGACCGCCGCGGTCTAGGCTCGGCTTGGATGTTCCGGGCTCCCCGAGGCTGGGGGAAGCGAGGGGCACCAGGGGCTTCCCGGCTTCAGCGTGGGGCGAGGTCCCGGCTGCGACCCCGGAGCAGAGGGAGAGGGGGGCCATGGTGCTAGGCGTTGAGGCGAGGGTTGAACCTGCTTGATTTCAGAGAACGATGCGGGTTCGACCGGAGGCGGGGCGCGTGTTCTAGGGGCCCTTGGGTGGATTTGGGGGCGCCAAGAGGGGTTAGACGGGGAGAGGCCTGGCCACCCAGTTGCTAGACTTTAGGCCGCGCTCCAGGAAGGAGCAGTCGGCTTCCTTCCTAGGCCGCTTCTGTTGCACGCCACTCCTTGAATCTACGCATTTTCCACTCCAAGAACGCGCTGGGAGAGAGGGGAGCGCGGAGCAGAGTCTCTGGGCCCCCAGGGCCGCCTCCCGGGGTGGCCACGCCTGCCGGTAGCGAGCCGAGATTAGCTAGGTCTGTGCTTCGGCCTCAGCGGTGGCCCTGGCTCTTCCCACAAGCAGCGGGAGGCAGAGAAATGGTCCCTTTGGATTACAGTTTTTATTCAACAGCAGCTCTCCGGGGGGTCCTCGTCTGAATCTGCATTTAGCAGCTCCTGGGCGAAGGCTGTCGGGCTGCACAGGGCGCCCTGTTGCATGTTAATCCAGATATGTCTCTGACGTCTGGGGAGAAGTAATATGGCTTGCAGATATGGAACCAGAGAACCACGCTCGCCAGGCAGGTTAAATGCCAAGTGCTGCCGAGCTCCCGGGGGACGGCCGCCAGGGCTGTGCAGTCCAGACTGGAGAGCATAGGGCCGCCAGGCCTCTGGGATCTGGGGCGGCTGGGTCCAGTGCGCTTTGGTTCCCAAGTGGGCTTGGGAACTCTGATGGCGATTGTTTTATTTCAAAAGTTCACAATGTTGTTTCTGAAGCAGAGTTTGGCTTAAAATCCTTTGAACTGAGGTAGAACTTGACAGAAAACGCCCCCCTCCGAAGAAGTGGGGGAGATTTTTGCAAGGGAGATTTAAGCTTTCGCTTTAGGGGAGGTGTCACAGTCAGGGATGGGGCTGGGAGGGCAAGAAGCAACCTAATGTCCTGCATGGATTGGATCTGCTGCTTTAGAAGCAAATAGATAGGGCCAGCGAATATTTACTAATACTAGAAATGTCTGCAATTCCTTGTCATCCAATAAGAAAAGTGTACACAAACAGTGGGAGGCAGAAAAATGGTCCCTTTGTCAGGTAGTTTGTTTTTAAATGCTTCCATTTGGATACATCTTATTTAAATTGTAAATGCTTCGTAGCTTCCCACTTAATGCCTTAATCCTGAAACCTCTCAGTCCACAGGACTTGCAAGTGATAAAGTCTTAGCATCACCTAACTTTACATTTGATTGTGTTGTGGGTCATGTGACATAGTCTTAATTCCTTTTAAAATATATGTCAAAGGGAAATTATGGCAAGATTCTCTTTAATGATTAAATAATAAGGTGTTGACTGCTTGTCACTACACTGGCTAATTGGGATGTTCATTCTAGGCCCTTTATTACGTAGCACCCTTTGAATTAAAAGTTAGTTGTTCACCGGGTATATTTTTATTGTTACTTTCTGATTGGCTTTTAGTGTGTATTTATGTGTGAGTTTCAGAGTAGGGATGTATTGATTCTTAATAGGGACACTTTTAAAACATTCTAGAAAAAACAAGGGGAAAAAATACAGCATGTATGCAGGTAGGTTGAGATCAATTACATTGGTAAATGTCTCTAATCTAAACGCTAATACTACAAAAATATCCTTTGCATAGCTTCTCTCTCTCTCTGTCTCTCTCTCTTTCAATCTCTCTCTCAGTGGAAGTCCCCAGTGCAAGTTGCATGAATAATGGAAAGCAATGATACTAATGCTACTTTGTACAAAGTAAAACCTCATAACAGTAACTATTGTTCAGTGATTTAACT